TTCTGAAAACTGAAAAAGTACAAAAATCTTTCTCAATAAATTCTTATTTAATAAGAACCGTGTGTCATGTGTTCCGGTTTCCCATTATAGAGAATGCGAAAGGTACCATTTGAAGTATGTAAAAGTACCAAAGAGTCCCCACTTACAAATTATTATTCAGTCAGGACCATGCATGTTCAAATGTATGATTCTACTTTGAATATTTTAGAAAATTTAAAAAGTACCATTTGGGAGATAAAAAGTACATACATACATACTGATCTATCCTAAAAAAATCTTATTCAATAAGGACCGTCTTTGTTTAATAATCATGTGTTTTGGATTCATATTACAGAACATATAAAGAGTATCATTTGAAGAAAGAAAATGTACCAAAAGTTGAATAAATTCTACCTTCGTGGTAAGTACTAATATAAAGAGTACTATTTTCCCCCTCTTCGCCTATGAATAGACTTTTTCGAGAATTAAATTTACTATATATTCCGTGTTTAAATCTATATATCACAAATAAAACCCAAACGATTCGAATCTGCATTCATTTGTTCCAGAAAAATTGTGCTTTCTAAAAATACCAAACATTTTACACGAATCTGAAAACCCGAATTCCAAAATAATATACCAATAGCTTATTTAGTGTGAGTAAATTAACTATTTTTGTAAAATTACCTCAATGAGCTTGAATAAAATTAAATTTCGCATTTCTCGCCTTTTTGGTACTTTTTCCCCTATTGAAATGGCAAACATTTTTTTTCAATAAATATTACAGAGGTAGTACGTTATTTAACAGTTATACGTCAATAAGTTGTTTTCTTAATATGCTAAAAAAAGTACCAAAAATACAGTTTTCTCCCTTTTACACTGAATTTTAAAAAAGTACGAAATTTTTTATAATTTTGAAAGATATAGTCAAATTATTTTATTATGTTTATTAATTACAAAGTTATAAAGGGCCAAAAAATTTGCCAAAATCACCTTTGTATTTTCACGACCATTTTAAGAGTAGATATACATATGTGCATTTAAAAGTTTTCTAGTATCACTAATATTGTGTAAGATAATTAAAAAAAACCTGTTTTACCCGTTTTTACCCCTAAATGTCCAAATTTCCAAAAATCCCAACTTAGTGGATCTTCCGCACCAAAAGCACATCTACTGTCAAAATTTCATGAGTCTAGGTTCAGTCGTTTGGGCTGTGCGATGATGAATCAGTCAGTCAGTCAGTCAGTCAGTCAGTAACGCACCTCTTTTATATAAATAAATTAGCTTTTTTATACCCACCATCAAAAAAGATATACCCCCATCTTTTTGTTTTTGCCATTCCGTTTGTAACACATTGAAATATTCGTCTAAGACCCATAAAAGTATATATATATTCTGGGTCCTTATTAGATTCTAAGACGATCTAGTCATGTCCGTCCGTCTGTTGAAAACACGATAGAATCCAAACGGAAGTAGCTAGAGAGCTGAAATTTGCATAGATACTTTTGTTTGATGCAGTTTGTTTGGCATTGAAAATGTGCAATATCGGTCCACGATTTCGCCTAGTCGCCATATAAGGTCCCTTTCAGAAAATGAATTTAACGCTCATAACTGACTAAAAGAAGCAGCTATAGCGATTAAATTCGACATAAACATATTTTATAGGAACCTTAATATTTTATAAGGATCGGTCCATAACTGACCCCATATAAGGTACCATTCAGAAATGGCTTTAAAGCTCATTACTAGCCTAAACCAAAATCGATCTAGAAAATTTGACGAGGATCGGTCCATAATTGACCAAACCTCCCCTCCAAATAAGGTACCTCTCAGAAAATGACTTTAACGCTTTTTACTACCTTAAAAATACAAGTACAGCGACAAAATTCGATAAAAATTTCTTTATCAAATTTTAGGAGGAACAAAATTCGATAAAAATTTTTTTATCAAATTTTAGGATGATCAGTCCATAATCCTATCCTATCGATATAAATATGTATGATGGTAAAATTATACATAGATGTAATAAATGAGAAAATTGTTTTGATAATAACAAAAGCATCGATTCTTAAATGTCAAAGTTTATTTATAAGGAAGCATTCCTTTTCGGCAATGTTTTGATGGTGGGTATACAAGATTCAGCACAGCCGAATATAACACTCTAACTTGTTATATACGGCTTTGCCCAGAAAATATATAGAAATAATACTAAAAAACAGGTTTCTTAATAGAGAAATTAAAATGGATAAAACCAATAAAGCCTAACGACGTGTAGCGCCATAGAGAAGTACCATGGTCTCGAGAAGTACCATGGTCTCGAAATGGCTTCTATATTCTTCTGGGCTGATATGGACAAATAAGAGTAACACACTACCACTAGAGTTCAGGGTAAATATTGCTAATTTTTAATGTGGCCATAAGTTTATCAAAGCTTTTAAATTCCTCCTATCGGAACGCATGAAGCATACGAGACAGAACAGCCGATATGACCATTATCTTTAAACGAATTGATCAAATCGTTCGTTACAGAACACTTCATCAATGTACCTATATTGGACATATTGGATGGTTATACACAAACAACAGACATGGAAACAGACAAAATGGATCTGTGGATACATTTCAAAAACCCATAAACCGAAATATACTACCATCTTCCTAATCACAACACTAGCTTCCACGCGGAAACTTCTGAATGAGGTCGGGCTAATAGAGAGAATAACTCTCACTGTTGCTTCTTGACTCAAAAACACATGGTAGATGATGTTGTTCCATCCATATCTATGAGTGGTGTAATCATTAACGAAGCAAAAACTCTTGATGTTCCGCTGAACTAAACACTTTTTTCAAGTGTCGAAGAAACATTCAAGTTTCTGGGTTTTTAAAACGGTGTAAGACATACTTCACTCCATCACTTATATATGACCCACAAATGGAATACCGGGTCTATTTTTGAGCTATTCGAAAGCATACAAGGGATCGGATCGGACAGAATGTGTCAACCAAAAATAAAAAATCGGTCATGTAAAATATCATACTATTTACGAACATGTCATGTTCGATACATACTATTTATTACAAAATTCATTCCAGTTATGATTATTTTTTTCTGTGTATCTAAATATTTTTTTTTATTTTTTAGTCTTTTTGGGGGGTTCCTTAGCAAAATATGTAGATTGATATTTTTATTAGTTTATTATTTCATCTTTAAGATATTTTGGTTGCGAGAAGAAATGTTCCAAAAAATGTCATCAGTTTCAATGACAACATATGAGTGAATAATTTTGAAATTGTGCAACTATTGTCGATGATGATGACGCTGCTATTGGTGTTTTAAGTTGATGCAAATATTAGAATACGTTGCCGAAATGCTGCTGGTCGTATTGATTTTACGACATATTGGGGTTTATTTCAAAAAAAAAAAAGCTTTAAAGAGAACATTTCAAATATGAAATTTTTTCTGTAGGGGTTTGAAGTGCTTTACATTTGTAACTAAATTCAAACATTTTTGGAAAAAAGTATTAAGGGAAATAAAAAAAGTCAAAACTTTAATAAAGTTTTAAACATTTACCATTTTGTTGATATAGTATTATGTTACACCCACCTGTTTAAATATAAACAATTTATTGATAAAATCTATACATGTGTTAATGTTGTTAGATTTTTAAATGATTATTTTGTTTATCTAACTATTATGTACTTAATTATAGCATGTGTCAACTATAATTATCATAAAGTTTAATTTCAAAAGTTTGAAAAAGTAAATATTATTGTTTACATTATTGGTAGTTGATCTAAGAAGGGCCTTTCTCTAGAGGGCCTTATTAAAGAAAGATTAATTGATGTTTAAATTTTTATTGGACTGGAGTTGGAAAAGTTTTCTGCTCTCTAAACAATTTCGCAATTTTAATGCAGTTTTTACAAACCTACTGGATACTGAAAATATCGACCTGTAGGTAAGTGACCTTTGACCTTTTCGGTATCTTAGATGCTAGAACTTCATCTAAGGCGTATATTCTTTGGATTGTTCTAATTTTGTTTGGTAGTTTTGAACTCTATTAGGTTACAGACCCTCATAATTTATTGAAAACACTTAGAGATATATAGTAGATATTTATGTTACGGAGATATCATTCCAAAACATGAACGAATGAATAAATCTTATTATTCTTTTTAAATACTCGATGTTAATCAAGTGATCAAGAATGATCATCAGACCTAAGCAGATCATACACTAGGAACATGTATGAGAGGAACACAAACTATTGTGTTGATCTCCAATTCGAATAGGCGGGAATAAGTTGTATCCACTTCTTTCTCCATAATATTCAAATGGTACCCAGAGAAGCTATAAGTTTAAACGGTTCGCTATCTCGATAGTAGTCGACCATGAACGAGAATAAATTCTACCCACTTTATTCTCTACATTGTTCCAATGTACATTAGAATGACCTGGTACCCAGAGCAGTTATAGGTTTGAACTATCACGATATCTCGATAGGAGACGACCGATATCCAATTTGATATCGTGTAAACAACAACAACATGTTTAATGTAAATACAAATTTCGATATTTCTGCAGTATCTCTTCTAGTTCATCGCCTGATTGATGGTTCAATTTAGGACTTGAGGTTGATGTTGAGGACTTTTGTGCAATTCCCGAGTATAGGTTAAGGAGTCGATCTAAAAGCCGAACCAGAAAGCGGATCCTACAGAACATTACATGTCCAGATCATGAGAGAAAGTATAGTACTAAGTACTAAAGTATAATCGTAGTCTAAACTATTGTAAAGCTAGGCAGAGTTTGATATAACAATCTTTTCGACCTTATATATAAGGCTTATCATATAGTGCTTATAACTCTACAATTTTCGTCCTATAGGCCTTTTTCCTATTATCTGTTTAATACGACCCTGTCTACGGAAATAACTATTTAAACCCCAAAACAGCACAGAAGGAAAATCATATAAAAACGAAAATTTTCCAAAATCGTCGAGTTTTCCGGTTGGTGAACGTAACAAATGATTGTGCAAAATTATTTTCATGTTCAAAAAATAACCTTTGCTGGTGTCGGTATTAATCCTATGGTCACAGATCCTAAAGATGTCGTAAAACATCCATTATTGTGCTATGGTCTTCTAATAAGTACTTTTTTCCATATGGTTATTATTGTACATTATATATTGACTCATATTAAGGAATATGACGAGGTAACCGATTCATTTCCTTTAATGTGTCAGGCGATTTTATCTATTTGGAAAATGAGTATATTTTTAAGTAAACGAAAAGATATATTGCGATTAATTAACGAATTACATCAATTAAATTTGAAGGGTAAGTAGGACGAAGTAAATAAGATTTCAAATGAATGAATGAAGGCAATATAATCCTTCAATTTCTCTTTAGCCCAGCTAGATGAATTAACCATAGTGCGCCGGGAAAACTCTAATGATGCTTTTGTTTCCAATATATATTTTAAAATCGTTTTGGCTACTGGAACTTTTGCATTTATACATCCAGCTATATATGGTTTATATGTTTATATCACAAGTGGAAAATTGGTTTTAGTGGAGGCAAATAAAGCCACGTAAGTAATAACTTTAAAGGTCAATGTCATTTCAAAATATTTCCAATCTTTTTTCATTGTCAGCTACTTTTGGAATTATACACACATTGGAGGTTACTCTATAGTATTCCTTTTAAACTTCCTCACCAGCTATTATGTATGTGATGTATCTTTGGCCATCGATACCTTATTCACCTGGTTTGTTCGTAATATTCTGGCACAATTTCAAATTTTAATGCATCGTTTTCATCAAGTTGCCGATCAATGCAATAAAGATGCTAGACAAGGTACTGGTCCAGGTTCTACTCAATATCGAGAACCTAAAAAATTCTTTTCGGCCATTATAAAATGTATACAATATCATCGTCAAACCTTAGCCTTGGCTGATAGATTAAATCAAGTTTATGGTGAAATAATTTTCATAAAATTCATCATAGTCTGTTCGGAAATCTGTAGTTTGGTTTTTAGTGTCAGTCGTCCTAATTATTCCATGTTTGATGCCGTTTACAAGGCTTTATTTTTGACCGCTGTCACTTTACAATTAAGTTTGTATTGCTATAATGGTCAGAGGATAAAAGATGAGGTTGGTTTTATTAAAATATTTAACATATTGTAATTTTTTAAAATTATTCGTTTTTCAGAGCATGCTAGTATCTACTGAAATCTACAACGCTTTCGATTGGTCTCATTTGGGAAATTCGTATAAAAAATTACTTTTACTTCCCTTGATGCGTGCTCAAAAGCCTAGCCATTTGAAAGGAGTTTTCTTTGAAGTTGATTTGAGTCTTTATTTATGGGTAAGTTGGAAAGTATTAAGGGTCATGGAATACAAAAAATGTAATACTAATTTCTAGGTTTTAAAAACTGCTGGTTCCTTGTTGACTGCTTTAAAAACTTTGGAGGAAAAACAGGACTAATATACACACGCCAAAAATGTGTGTTTGTGGAACTTTTTCGAACGTATAGGTTTAGTTACATAAATAAATCGCTAGCAATTCTACTGTAACTCAAAAATCTTTATCTTATTTGAACGATCCTTCTCTACTTTGAAAGATCTTACAAATTATTTAGTTCTTGAAATAACTAACTGGTACCTCGAACACAGCTTCTAGATCATGAAAAAGCTTTATACTGTGTTTACATCTGAGCTGTTTAACCAAATATTATTCATCTAAACAAGTATCGTCTGAGTTGGAACTGGGTTTGAATGAATGAATATTAATGGTCAATATATCAAGTACTTCCTCTCGCAACCTAATTGATGTCTGAAATCGAAAACTGCTTATACTTTAAGCTATCTGAGATAAACTTAAATCGCATGAAAAATGGTCTGCCTTTGTAGGATGGTATCATGACAAAATGTCGGGGTCTTATACCTCGATTTAAATTTAATCAATGTAAACAATATAATGTATATTCAGGTTCTATGAATTGAAAGTAATTGGCTGCCAGATCGCGCAATTTGTTGCCAAATTCCCTTCATATCTATATGGTAGTCATGGAAAGTTGGACCTTCGAATGCGCAATATCTCGAAGAAATAAACAGTTGATGTTGTATTTCAGACATAATAGAAGAAAAGTTTTGTATCAATTTATTTTAATTTATTTATTCAAAATTGAAGTTTTTAAGTGGCTTATATGGAGACAAATAAAGGGGTTTTGGAGTATATATCACATAAGCCGAACGATTGCCTAAGATCGGCACTGACTTATAGTAACAATAGATATTAATTAAACGTTAATGAAGGTAGTATATAGATGTGTTCCAATTACTAATAAACCATCATTAAGATCTGGTAATCTTTTTAAAGTCAAGAATCGAAATTATCCTATATTAATGATATAGAATTTGAAAATGATCTGTAGGTTAGTTGGAAGTGTGTTAGTCTGAAGTTATTTATATTGTAAAAGTGGACTTGTTTGTTAAAATCTTTTCAAGAAAAATCTTCACTAAGAATACGTACCGTCATACTAATCTTAGACTTATTTTTTTTAAGGAGGATTCTTATTCTGTTCTGGGACCATTCCATAAGATTTTAATGCCCCTTTCCAACATTATACCATTACAAGTGGCTGATCTCTCGATTATGTTCTCATTAAACCATTCATAAGTAGAAGAGTTTATTCATTGAAGAACTCAGGTGGCAATTTTTGTACATGCATTATTTAAAATACAATCCCCATCAACTAATGACCCATTCCAGTGCATTCCTTAACCTTTTAAAGCCCGCGCAACCACACTACTGAGATGACTCTGTTGATTCTGCAACAGCACCTAGAGACGTATTTGGTTGTCGAAATACCCAGCCATTAAATCAGTATCCCTCCAAGTCGGATAATGTGACAAAGGATGTAGGAACTTCCAAAGGCAATTCGAACCCAATAATAATGAAACAATATGTATCCTGTTGAGATGGCAACAGCACCGAGAAATTCCCTGAAGTAAAAGGTCTAGTAAATCAGTACTAGTCTCCTGTCGGGCAGGGGAATTTTTCCCGATCGTTCACCAATTACATCAGTTCCATTCTCAATTACATCAGTTCCATTCTCAGTGTCAACTTGAAGAGAGAGTGTTAACATGATAAGAAATACTCAACAGGACAAATACTGCGGGCAACTGGCCACCCGTAATGCAAGATTATATGGTGCTCTAGTTAGACCCTATGTCAAATCATTCTAAGGAAAGGACGAGGATACATTTGATCATCACCAGTTTATAGTCCCGGCACACTAGGGGGGAGTTATAGCCAGTACATTTGCTCTTCTATATATTGCAGAGCTTTTCAATGGAATAGTATTCAGATATGGCTCTTGGATAAGCTGTCATGTAATCAATTTGCCTGAGACTTGTTCGGTTGGAATAATCTTTGGCTTTTTTCCAAATATTATATTTTGGAATTCCTTTAACTTTCTTTATTTAATATACAATTTTATTTGTTGTTTTCTGCACTACTCCCATTAGATTTTCCAAAAAAAAAAAGTATTTTCAATAACATTTTATGTTTTTTGTCAATTTTAATCTAAAGTTTTACACAATGCTACTACAATTTCACCAAGCAAATGCATCAATGTTCATTTATTTTCTAAGAAAACACACATACCCTATTTAATATATGCTGCACTCGATTTGTTATATGTAACTACCCAGCAGTTTAGCGAACTTATTTGGTATTGGCAAATTCATTAGGTACTAAAATGTACTATTGGTTAAAGGCTTATTTAAGGCCTAACCAATTGTGACTTGTTACTGCATTACCATGGGCTAGTTATTTCACCATTCTAAACATGATTGGTACACATAATCACCTTCAAAGGTAGCAAATTCATTTGGTTTATTAATAATTTTAAAAAGTTTTGAATGCATTACTAAAAGGACTCATCAATTTACAGTATACCAGTTGATACAAATGTAGCTAGTGCAATTTGATTACTTTTAAAACTACATAGCGAGTTTAGCGTGGTAATATTACTAGTGCTTTTCTCATCATTTTATTTCATGCAGCATGCATGTAACTTTATCTAAATATTCCTTACTGACAATACAAAAAAACCAACAAACCAACTTAAAGAAAAATCAACTTGATTCTTCAGTTTCTTTTTATATTTTTCTTATTTTTGGTATTTTTTTTTTTTTGCGAGTTAGAAATTCTATCATTGATTTCTTTTTTTTCGGTTACTTTAATACGAAATTTGTGTCAGTATGGGTAAATTTTAATATCTATGATTGTGTAAAAAAGCGGAAAGGGAACTCAGCAGCAGCATGTGTGTTTTAAGGTAATTTGATATGTTGCCATTTGCTGCTGTTACAGTTTACAATGACTGACATGTTAAAAGACTCAATGCATTTTAGCATGACTCGTTGTAAAAGATGTTTTCGAAGGAAGTACAGACTGGCAAACAAACTCTTCGTTTAGTTTGGTGTATAATTTTCTTATTTTTTTATTATTTTTGTTTTCCCCCATCATTGTGGCTTTGAGAAATCAAATGACATGTCAGTTATCATTTCAATATTCTATAGATGGTACATTTTTTTCTACCCAAATATAAATGTACGTCAACAAATGTTGATGTATTTAAAAGTTATTTTTATTTAATAGAGGGTTTTTTTTCTCTGAAATAGGGTCACTGAAATGACAATGGCATTAGACAAGTTTGTTGACATTTGTGTTTAAAGGTTAAAAGGTAAGAGCTCTAAATCTGAAATATATCCATTCATCTGATCAGTAAACTAGATGTTTATCAAGAAAAGCTCAACTAGTGTAGCGAAGACACTTTGAAGATCCTCCTTATTCAGTTATACTTTAATTCTAGTTCAGTTCTAGTTCAGTTCTAGTTCAGTTCTAGTTCAGTTCTAGTTCAGTTCTAGATCAGTTCTAGTTCAGTTCTAGTTCAGTTCTAGTTCAGTTCTAGTTCAGTTCTAGTTCAGTTCTAGTTCAGTTCTAGTTCAGTTCTAGTTCAGTTCTAGTTCAGTTCTAGTTCAATTCTAGTTCAGTTCTAGTTCAGTTCTAGTTCAGTTCAAGTTCAGTTCTAGTTCAGTTCTAGTTCAGTTCTAGTTCAGTTCTAGTTCAGTTCTAGTTCAGTTCTAGTTCAGTTCTAGTTCAGTTCTAGTTCAGTTCTAGTTCAGTTCTAGTTCAGTTCTAGTTCAGTTCTAGTTCAGTTCTAGTTCAGTTCTAGTTCAGTTCTAGTTCAGTTCTAGTTCAGTTCTAGTTCAGTTCTAGTTCAGTTTAGTTCAGTTCTAGTTCAGTTCTAGTTCAGTTCTAGTTCAGTTCTAGTTCAATTCTAGTTCAGTTCTAGTTCAGTTCTAGTTCAGTTCTAGTTCAGTTCTAGTTCAGTTCTAGTTCGTCTAGTTCAGTTCTAGTTCAGTTCTAGTTCAGTTCTAGTTCAGTTCTAGTTCAGTTCTAGTTCAGTTCTAGTTCAGTTCTAGTTCAGTTCTAGTTCAGTTCTAGTTCAGTTCTAGTTCAGTTCTAGTTCAGTTCCAGTTCAGTTCTAGTTCAGTTCTAGTTCATTTAGTTCAGTTCTAGTTCAGTTCCTAGTTCCGTTCTAGTCGTTCTAGTTCAGTTCTAGTCAGTTCTAGTTCAGTTCTAGTTCAGTTCAGTTCAGTTCTAGTTCAGTTCTAGTTCAGTTCTAGTTCAGTTTCTAGTATCAGTTCTAGTTCAGTTCTAGTTCAGTTCTAGTTCAGTTCTAGTTCAGTTCTAGTTCAGTTCTAGTTCAGTTCTAGTTCAGTTCTAGTTCAGTTCTAGTTCAGTTCTAGTTCAGTTCTAGTTCAGTTCTAGTTCAGTTCTAGTTCAGTTCTAGTTCAGTTCTAGTTCAGTTCTAGTTCAGTTCTAGTTCAGTTCTTAGTTCAGTTCTAGTTCAGTTCTAGTTCAGTTCTAGTTCAGTTCTAGTTCAGTTCTAGTTCAGTTCTAGTTCAGTTCTAGTTCTGTTCTAGTTCAGTTCTAGTTCAGTTCTAGTTCAGTTCTAGTTCAGTTCAGTTCTAGTTCAGTTCTAGTTCAGTTCTAGTTCAGTTCTAGTTCAGTTCTAGTTCAGTTCTAGTTCAGTTCTAGTTCAGTTCTAGTTCAGTTCTAGTTCAGTTCTAGTTCAGTTCTAGTTCAGTTCTAATTCAGTTCTAGTTCAGTTCTAGTTCAGTTCTAGTTCAGTTCTAGTTCAGTTCTAGTTCATGATCTGGTTCAGCTCTAGTTCAGTTCTGGTTCTGTTCTAGTTCAGCACTATTCCAGTTTTTTTTTTTTTTTTTTTTAAATTTAGAACATCAAATGTATAATTTAGATAAAGAATTTGAACTTAATGTGTGTATGTCTAATATTTCTGAGAGCAACCAAACACCATTAAAAACTTTGTAACCTTCCTACTTTAAAAATCATCCCAATAAATAAATTCATAAATATTTTAAAATAATTAAGCCCTCTTTTTAAACAGCTAA